GGTAGGTGCGTCACAAAAAGATTTGAGGCCCAAACGACTCCAGGGTCTTTTGGAAAATTTCAACCCTGCTCAGAGGGGCGCGACAGGGTAAACCGGCCGTCGGAGGGGCGCGCCGCAAATTATCGCGAAATACAGGGGCGCCAGACGAATTTTCCCTTAAAAATATTTTGTTGAAGTTATTTTCTTCGAAAGTTTTTTTTAAGGTGTTTGATTTTTAAATCGAGCTTGGTTTGAACTACAGTTGCAATTGCACTTCAGGCACCCTACCTGGCCATAAAACTGCGTTGTATACACAGTTCGAACTACAATTCGAAACTATAACTTGGCCATTAGTGCAATTACAACTCGTTTTTGTGACTCCCGCATAGTTTCCCCATATATGTATCATCAAACAGAGCTGCCCGGTAAACCGTAGGCTGAGAGGGGGAAGAGGACAACTAACGCAGGGCTGTGACAAACTGCTTCGTCGAAGTTCCACCGACTCATCAGGAGGCTGAACCCTCGACAGTCTGCAGAATCCCCCAACTGATTACACTGTAAGCGATAATCCACCTTAACCCCAGTTGTGGTTGAGCATCAACGACTGCCCGACAACGGATACCCTGAGGTGCCCTTGAGGTATGTGTGACGAAAATCAGAGCAGACTATCACTCGCCCACACCAGATGAAAAACTCTATAGACTGTTGGTTCACACCCCACCAGAAGCCAACAACAAAACATGCACGCAACAAACAAACGCCTGTCACGGTTTCTGGATTCGAAAAACAGAATCTTTTTTAAACACACTCCAAATGCGCTGCTGGCATATACATTGTCATGCATATCATCAAAGAGAGCTGCCCGGTAAACCATAGGCAGAGGGAGAAGAGGACAAAAAAGGAGGGGCTGTGACAAACTGTTTCGTCGGAGTTTCACCGACTCATCACGAGGCTGAACCCTAGAGAGAGAGAGAGAGAGAGAGAGAGAGAGAGAGAGAGAGAGAGAGAGAGAGAGAGAGAGAGAGAGAGAGAACTCTACTTGGAGTTACCTGGTGATGTTGCCGTGAGAAAAAAAATAGCACTCCTTCCAAAGGCCAGCATCGAATTGACTGCTGTTGTTCTCCATTGGTCCAGAGTGACATTGCGTTGGAGAGTGATTTGCATTCTGGTGAGGTGTTGGGACAAAGATACTGGTCTGACCATTGGCAGAGAGCAAGGCTGACGAGAGCTGAGGTGGCAACAGGAGGGAGGGGTGGCTGGAGGAAGAAAGGAGGAAGGCCAGAAGAGACATTGTGTCAATTGATTACTATGTTGAGCTTATCCTCCTCATCTTCCTCCTCCGTCTTGGTGGGTGGTCTACTTTGCTACCTCTCATGATTTTCATTCATTGAGGATTGCGAGTTTCGTGCACGATGATGTCTGCTTCTTGGAGTTGGATTCATTACAAACCAGAAGTCAGGCACCTAACTTACCGGAGAAATGCGCCGTAAGAGGGGAGACTATGGCACAGCACATCCCTCCCCTACCTGACGAACCTGAGTTCTTCTTCTGTGACCCCTTCTCGTTTGATATTCATACACTGTCGTTGGCCTGCTTCCCCTGTCGTATCTCCAGCCTCACTTACATGGGTTTCTCACTTTCTATCAAATCTCTAGTCCCTTACAGGGATCTAATTCTTGTTGAGAGGACTTGGTTTAACCCAAAGCCGGCCGATAAGCCTGTGTCCTGACTCGAGAGCTGTGTGCTATGGCCCTTCCCCGAACACAATGCACCCTCATCATGAAGGTGTCGCATCAGAAGTCAGCTTGTGTACCTTCATGATCAGGGCGGAGTGCGTTAAAGAGGAGGAGCCCCTAGGTTGCAGGACAAGCTTATCCTTCCCTGTGATCTCAAATTATGAGTTGTCCCAGCTGATCCATCTGATTCTGACATCTCCGATGAATGGCATCTGCGTCTCTTATCAATGCACAGAGGTCCGAGTTCCGAGTCCATGGCTACCGTCTTCACGCCAATAGAACGCCCAGTCATTATCACCGTATCTAGACTGAAAGTTGCACCAAATACAGCTATGAGGACCGCGCGTTCTATTCGGGTGAAGACGGTAGGGGCCAGAGTCCCTGCTCAATGCACAGGGGTCTGAGTCGCTACTCAACAGATAGGGGTCTCTACTCAACGCATAGGCGTCTAAGTCTCAAATTCAGTCATCCTCAGTGCAAAGGGGTCTGAGTACCTACTCTGTTGACCCATACACCCACCCACTTGTTTGAAGGACTCCAAGTTTATTGCCATGATCCAGAGGAGGGGACCGCCAATTGTACCATAGCTAATTTCAGTGGGATCCAGGTCCCTCCACTGTGGCCCACCTCTTCTCCTCTATATGACCCAGCAATCCTTGATCCTCGCTAACCCTTTACGGATTCAGGTTCAAACTAAATCTCCTTTTTTCCAAGGAAGCACAAAATGACATACATACCTTCCTTGTCAACGATGGCATTTTCAAAAATATGCTGGCTTAAAAGATCTCTTCTTTGGTACTAAAAGGGCCTTTACCCGATATAGGCCTCAGGCCTTGTAAAAATAGAGCAGCACGGGCCTTGTAAAAGTAAAGCATTGTGAAAAGGTATCTTGCCAGGGCTCAGAAACGTGAAAACAGGTCAAAAGTCAAGTTCTCTATCAACAGGCACATCTAAATCTAAGGCAAAGGGCATTATCAAAAGACTTACCTGTTCACCAGGAGATGTGTATGTCATGTCTGTTCGAGTAAGGGTGTGTCTGTACGTGTAGGCAGTGTACCTGTTCGTGCAATGGAAAGTGCCTGTTCAAGTAGTAAATGTGTCTGTTCGTTTAGAGTTGTGCCTGTCCGAAAGTGAAGTCAGTAGGCACAGTCCCAGTTCTGGTCTAAGTCAAGGGGTCAGTCCAGATCCAGACTTTCAAGTACAAATCCAGGCCGAAGTGCCTCAGCAGCAGTTGAATCTCATTGGGACTGTACYGGRACACATGCAATGCAGGGTCTGGGACAAAGGGAGAGGCTGAATTGAGCCAATGCAGACCCAGCGAGGAGTGGCCAGCACTATAAAAAGAGCTGCCTGCCTCATTCTTCGCCAGATCTCCACTGGCTGCAATACGTGGAAGTGCTGGTGCACTTGTGCGCTGAGTCAGGAGGAGCAGCGCTGGAGGAGAAGACGCGCTGGAGGGAGGAAGATGCCTGTACGCTGGAAGTGATGCAGCCATAGCTGCCCAGCGAGTTAGCATTAGTAGTAGAGGGTTAGTATGTAGCTATGAGTAGTGTCCAGAGTAGATCCTCATGAGTATTGAAGTGTGTGTATGCATCATAGGAGGAAGGGATTGAGGCTGAGAGTGTTCATTCAAGGTTTGGCTATGGAAGGTACTTACCTGAGTTGGTTGTGACCTGCAGAGGTGGCGCTGATGAGTATTGACCACGTTGATGATTTGGAGACTATCTGCAAGGGTAGCACTGATTCACTGGAAGGCATATTGATGAGTTGGCAAGATATTGGTGTTGCGCTGATGAGCGCTGGACTCAGGGGAACTTTGAAACACTTTGTATTCTTATTTCTGATAATATAAACTGTGAAACTCGGTCCTCATCTTCTCTATCTTTGTCTATTGTCAGACTACTGTTCATTGTGTGTGGGAGTACGATGCATGGCATGTACACACTTCCGTGAGATGGTCCCCAGGACCCATGCAGTACAAGGCTCCTCTAGTCTTTCAGGGAACACACCTCTGCACATGCTTGAAGTGTACCTCTCGCCAGGTTCAAGATTCGATCTGTCTACCTCTCGCCAGGTTCGAGATTCGATTTCTTTCTTCAGATTGGTCTTGTAACTTACCAGACCTCTATATCCTCTTCTTGCCTGAGATTCAATCTCTTCCTCTTTCTCAAAAAGCAGACCACCATGACCCCTTGTCCATCACAGATCCTTATATTCTGTTGGGAGTCTAGCTGAAACATCTTTATTTTCTGTTGGGACTCTTATTAGGAGCTTAACAGGCCGTACTGCCAGCATCAGCACATCCTGCCTCTGCAGGTCGATTATGCCCACCCTGCCTCCACCCACCCATCCTCCACTAACTTGGTTGCCTTCCACCAGGCTATCCTGAGTGTGGGTCTCCTGCATCCTTACATGGTTTAGATGTGTTGTATATCGCTCGATGTGAAGTAGTTCATTGATTTGTTCTCCGCCTGAGCAGTTCATTTGCAAGTGGACAGCTTTTTCTGACAAGGTGACACCGTGACAGTGAGATGATCAAGTGGCCTTGTCTGGGGTTTGGGAGATCTGGCCGGTTGGCAGGATGAAACCCTTTTCGTCCAGATGCAACACAGTTTTTTTTTTTTTTTTTTTTTTTCTGCTTTTTGTTTGTCTTTTGTGGCCTTACCTCAGCTCACGAGACCCCTCCCTCGCACCTTAACATTTCTCCCTATTGCACGCACTCCCTGCTCCCTGGATTGTATGCCGGTGTCTAGATATATATTCCGTGGCGGGATGATTCCGGCATGTGTGCTGATCTGGATGCCCAGATGTCTGTATGATGTTCGCATATCTGGCCAGTCCATATGCACCACGTAAAAGGTCTAGATCCAGATCACCGTCTATATCAGTCCAGTGCCCGGGCCCAGCAGAACCATGAAAATAACTCTGCATGCCACATACACGTTTTCCAGAATCCTCGACTTGTGTCTCTCTTTCAAGTCATGCCATGTGGCAACCTATAGACCAGACGGCAGAGTGGACCAGTTAGTACAAACTCCCTCCAGCAGACGGGCATGACGAGAGAGGCTTCCTGCTCCCTGCCATTCACCTTATGGAATTTTCAGTGAAAGAACAATAAATCAGCGCGCAGCCACACAGATGTCTTCCAGAATCGTCAATATTTCTTTCTTTGTCATATCATTGCATGCACTGATACGTAGAGCAGACAACAGAATGGACCAGTCTGCGGCAGAACTTGCATCACCAGAGAGGCCCATTCGGAGTGAATGAAATGAAAAGAGTCAAAAGACAAAGCAAGATTTACCAACCATCATTTGCAGCCGAGTGAAGTAAGAACGATAACGAACGAAAAGAGAATGCCGTAACACTAACGATTCAATCGGAAAGAACGTCATCAAAAATTCCTAGAAATTCTCAATGCTTTCTAGAAATTCAAACAACAAAATGGTCTTTTCCATCTTGGTGCACATCCAGTACAGTCTGGACCGACAATAATCTCCTCCCGATCCCTCCCATAATCCGAGCGAATTCAACACTGCTGCTGAAATCTCTCTTGGCATGCCCGATGACGACCATCATCCACACCATCACCACGTATACATCGCCAATCTTCCAGAAATGGAACTTGCTGTGTAAAATGCTGCCGAAACAGACGCTCACGATTATAACGGACTTTCCGTTATAAACAATGCCCCTACCTTTTTCAGCAGTTCCGGTCACAAGCTGCTGTCATATATCAATCAACAATGGTCAAAGTCAGCCATTTGTCCCACAATCTGTGAAACAACGGCAAACAAACAGGTATTCTGAGTACACAGTCACTTCCGCCATCCAATTTCCGATTCCCAAAAGCTTCGACCCTTGAGAACATGGGCACAAGGCATCACCCAGAGAAAGGGGAGGTTGCCCTAATTGTGCCCCCACTAATCCTGCCATTTGAAGAAGAAAAGAAAAAGAAAAAAAGCCAACAACTCCGTACCATCAAAAAAAAAAAGAGAAAAAAAAAGTCTTACAGATATAAGATGGCGTGGTTCAACGACAACACCAGATCTGCTGGACTTCCAGGGGACAAATCCGCAATTGCAATCAAGAGATACTGTATCCAAATACTGTGGTCCTCTGTCACATGCACCAATTAGCACATATGCATTCCCAGCGCAGCCCTCGACCACTGCTCCCCCCCAACCCTTTCTCCCCCTTCCTCGCCCCCTCCCCCCTCCCCCCCTTGTATCTTTGATGATTGCCTGCAACCTTCCTACCTACAAACAACACACAAGCCCGGGAGCTCACCTCAAATCCTGCTAAATTGCAGATGCTGCTCCCTCCCCTCGTCTCATTCAATTCCCACTCAATCCAAAACTAGTTAGTTACTTTGACTTTCCCTCCGGGACAGCCCACATGCTGGCTCCTGCAGCTGATCTTGGCGGTGCAAACCCTAGGAGCTTCTGTAGATTTGACCTGATCGCCAATGAACAAAGGAAATACAGGAAAGCCTGTGAAACAACAGTTCACAAAATGGAAAACAGCAGCAATGCATAAGTGCCCCGCAGATAGCAACATTCACAAGTGGCCAAGCGCTGCATTCAGTCTCCAGCAAGGAGGAGGAATCCGCCTCCACGCCAATCTCAAGCAAGGGGGGAGGAAGGGGGTGGGGGGAGTCAGCTACAACATTCATGAGTGGAGAAGTGCAGCATTCCATCTCATGAGTGGAGAAGTGCAGCATTCAATCTCAAATGAGTGCCCAGCAAAGCTTGGTGCAGAGGGGGAATCCGCGTCAGCAAACAGAGGCTCGGAGGTAGTGGTGGTTTAAGACCCGCGCATTCTCTGCAACCCCACCATTCAGTGACCACTGCCCTTGATGCAAGTTCCATTGTGCTGGAGAATACTGAGCATCTAATCTGGTCCTCCCTCCCCTCTCTTCCTTCTCCTTTTCCCTCCACCCCACCTTTTCTTTGTTTTCTCACCCCACCTTTCCCCTACCCCTTTATCAACTCCTCTCCTTCCGTCCACTCCCCGATCTCTTCTTTCGAAATGGATGAGCATCGCTAAGAGAACAGGCGTTTACACAAGTGCATGTGCATGTATAATATATGGGTATGTCAGCACTTACTGTCCAACCACACAAGCGCAACCTTATTACACTTTCAATGGATCACAAGGTAGACGAAAGCAGAATCTCTTCTTGAAAATCGTAACGAAATAGAGGATAGGCGTGCTGTGAACGGTGAGCACCAGTCTACCCACAGACAAACACGCGAGCAAGAGGGAAGATGCTTGACATCGAGGGACGGGCTTTTGAGTGATCGCCCTAGCTGGTGCCTGAGTGCCTCTATCAGTTGGTCAGTTCACAATAACCACTGCTCAGGGCTCTGTGACACTAGGCTTCGACTTTCTCATCGACCACTCCATCTCCTCTGTGCATTAACTTGTGACATACATTGTCGATCTGATCTTTTTTTTTTTTTTTTAAAGGTCAACAGCCATGAGACACCGTCATTGAACTGGATGGGCCCAGGTAATTCAGAATTATCTCCTTCTGTTCATTTGATTGCAATCACTGCATCTGGATTCAAGCTTGGGTCTGCATTTCAACAGTTCATTGGGTGTACCAACTGAGCTAGGCCCGTCGGTTGTCGATCTGATTGTAATTACCATGCAAAGCACAATACTCCCTGCCTGCTAAGAAGTTAGGGCATACACACAGAGACTTCTTTGCATATTTCTGGACTTGATCACCGCAAGATGCATCCAGGTCCAGGCATAAATGCAGTCAGATGCATTTCAGATAATGTTAGTGTAAGTACACCCTTGGTCAACGGTGTATCATATGCTGTCCTGACCTTTTAGTCGTTTCTCTTTCTGCATCTCTTTCGTCTGAATCTGCCCACCCTTCCCAGCTCTGCTGCCTTCCCTCACCTTTGAGAGTTCTCCTAACCTCTAGCTTGCATCTTCTCCTTCTCCCTTTTGTCTTACTTTGGTGTCTGACTGCATTTCATTCAACTCAAAATGCATGTTACATTTCACTCGAAGCCTCTTTTTATCAACCTTCTACGCTTCTCGCACATCAAAGAAAAAAACAGAAAAACTATGGTTCCAATGGTAGAACAATGGTCTCCAAAACCACAAGGTTAAGGGTTCGAAACTTCGAATCCCTTTTCTCCTGTAATGTAATTATAATTAATGTTCCTATCTATATCAAAACAAACCTTTGCACAAACAGCATATCTCACAGGGGGGAATCGAATTAAAAGAAAAAGGGAAAATAAGCACAAACAGCATAGATGCCATACAGCCATGAGGTTGATAGCAACAGACCCGAACACTCGCACACGATCTCAGGCGACTGGGAGAAGTTGTTCACTAACCATGGAACAGTCTGTCGGATCATTGCCTGGAAGACCTCTGTGAGACATCCTCTGGACGAAATTGAACGGCTCAAAAGGAATCTTGGCCACGGTCTTTCCCTCAAACCTGCCAGCAGAATGACAACAAGAGAGTCAAGTAGCTGGTGGTGAAACAAGACCACAGAATAGCCGGAAAAAGATACAGGAGCCCACAGTGAATGCATCAAATCAAGCAAAAAACAACCAAAAGAACAAACATCACCCAATTAATGTATCAACCATTCTTCTGAATAATCTGATTGCATCACACAGCTATCACTAAGTCGACCGTCTATTCGATAAACAGTAAATCAAATACCAATTAACCAACCAAATGCCAATTAATCAACCTATCAATCTAACAGCCAATCACGCCAACCACCTTCTTGATCAATCAATCTGTCGGATTTTTTTTCAATTGTCAAACCATCGATACATTTCCCAGCCAACAGGGGCCCCCCCTGTATGTGTGCCGCAAGTTTCGGGGACGTCGGTCTACCGGAGCAAAAATGGCAGGCAGTGCCAGCCAAAAGAAGTGACGTGCCGGATTGTTTTATTTTGGCGTGCACAGCGTTTCCAGGCTCGGCAGGGGAAGGGTCAAGACTCAAAGGTACTGGTGGTTTGATTTCTCACATTCCCACGAACACTGAGTCAGTGATTTACGGTTGATCTGTTGACACTCAGGACTATGAGCTTGAGAACGACGGGTATACGTCAGAGTGTGTACCATTTGGGTGCAAGCCCGGTGTATTATTTGAGTGCTACATTGGGTGTGTTACATTCCAATTCGCCGAGCGCTACGCCCAAATCACACAGGAGTTTGGGGTCTGCTGTTCACAGAAAGTTTGTTCAATGTTGAATCTCAATTGGGGCTGTACAGCGTCCATCATTCCTCTGCTGCGTTGGGGTTCATGACAAAGTCAACCTTGGACGATGAGTAAAGGGACGATTTACCATTGTTCCAACTACTGAGCTCACACAGACTGTTCCTTTGCTTAGCGTGATTGCACGTAGAATGTCCTCACGGACTTCTTCCTAGAACAATCATCAGGGGTAGGCTCCGTGTGTCGGCGAAGGGGAAAGAACCAACCCCCTGAAATGACATCTTAGAGAGCTGTGGTGGGGGCTGTAATGCGAAACCCCATGGACAGCCCGCGGAATGGTAAGACAGACAACTCTGGGGACCCTAGAAACGGCCTGTAAATCAGGACATCACTCCTAAAATAAAACAAATTCGGTGCTTTCGGCCCTAAAGTCCTGGCTGAACTTCCGGGATCTTATGCAGCTGGGATCTGATGATTTCGTTGTTCTTCACAACACTCGAAGAATTGTTCTGATGTCCTACCTAGAGGAACAGGACCTGCACCTGATACTCTTTTTACGGCCTCATTCCAGCCGGTACCTTCTCGACCACTCTCCTAGGCCTGCTGGACCTCAGGAAAATACCTCGGCCTACCAAAAGTACTACCTTTTAGTCCTTTTCTGTCTACCTACCCGGCACTACTAGATTTTGGCCGCCTAGGGCCTTCCTACTGCTACCTTACTGCAGCTCACTAACCCTCCACTTCCCAGGAATACACATACCCATGTACTCAGACAGACAGACAATCATAGGACCTCGCTCCTCTACTCACCAAACGTGCAAAATGAGGCTGAATCTTCCGCTATAACATTGGAAGATACCCCGCCATATTTTTCGTCTTTTGTGCACGTCATGCGTAGCGGAGCGAGGCCCATACGGAACACAGATATCAGCAACCACCATACCGGGAATAGACTCGGACAGCAAGAATCCGAACGGACACAGAGAACCAAGGCAAAATCTCAGAAAAGCATAGGATTCACAGTCTGCAATTTTGAGGGTTAGTACAAACAAATATTATCGGAATTTTCCATCTGCACACGTATTTACAAAACACTCTGTTTTTTTTTTAACTTGAAGCATTTCTTGAGAGTCAGGAGATGAGCCAAGCAAAAAATGCCACACACACTTACGGACCCAGGTTTTTAGTTCATACCAAGCATTCAACAGAACCTTACATTGTGTTCAGAAAACCGTAAAGAATGACCATCGTCACTGCAACAACCGCACCAGACTTCAGTTTAGCCATGCTCAGATCTCTGTTTGAGTTCTTGAGACTGCTTTCAAATCGGTCCATCTTTCTCGATCGGCTCTTCTTCCCTGCTGCTGCAGTTGATGAACTCTTCATGATTTCCACTGTAAGCAAAAACACCACCCCGTGGACGGAAAACAGTCGTTACAAGTTACGATAAAGCGCCATCCCGGGGGTGAAACACCCTCGACCTATTCTCAAACTTTAAATAGGTAATATTTTTTTTGGGTGCGCTTAAGCGAGAACCTCGAGGATCAATGAGAGCTCCAAGTGGGCCATTTTTGGAAAGCAGAACTGACGATGGGGGATGAACCAAAAGTCGGGCTACGGTGTCACACTGCGGGAAAAAAAAAAAAGAAGATAAAACACCACCCCACGGTATAGAACCCATTATAGCCATCGCCGAAACCTCGCAAATACCACACACCTATTGGTCATCTGTGGACATGCCAAGAACAACATACTCTGCACCCAGGCCACCCTAACAATTGCAGGGGGAATCACAGTAAAAAAACGGACCAACAAATAGTACCTGGATATTACTCCTTGGAATTCTCATCGACTGTCATCAGATGACAACAAGCGCTGTCGATGACATTCATAGACAACCTTAGCTGCTTTAGGGTTCGGTTTCCCGCCACCAAGCCGGTACGTACACTTAAGCCGCACAGTCCACTGGAAAACCAGACAGTACAGGAAAGAAAGGGAAGGCATGGAGGGGAAGGGGGAAGCAAGGAGGAGGCAGGAAGGAAGGAAAGAACGGACAGAAGGGAGGGAGGATGGAATTGAAGAGAAGATGTGAAGGAAGGAAGGAAGGAAGCATAGGATTCAATAATTTCATCTCAGAGGTCCAACCTTGTCGAAATTCAGCATCTTTGTAAAGCAACATCGTTTTTCTTACTTGCATACTCCGAACAGGAATATCTGGCAAGATTAGATAATGCGAAGAAACTTTTTTTGAGTTCTTCTGTTCAGAACCAGAGCCGGTAACATATTTTACTATAATAATATAATAATTCCCATATTTACGATCTCTTGGAAGGACGACGGGAGGAAGGGAGGGAGGAGGGAAGGAAAACCAGGAAAAAAGGGCGAAGAGGACGACCACAGAAAGAAGGGAAGGGAGGAAAGAAAGCAGAGGAAGGAAGGGAAGGGGAGATGAGGAGGACAGAAGGAAGGAGGGAGGGAAGGGAGTGAGTGGAGGCAGGGGGGGAAAAATCAGCAAACAAGGAAACAAGTAAAAGAGAAAGAAACGAAGGGGGAGAAAGGAGCAAGGAGGACAGAAGGAAAAAAGACGGAAAAAGTAAGAAAAGCAGGAAAAAGTGAAAAATTTAAAACAATAGAAGCAAAACATAGGGGGGAAAAGAACCAGAGGGAAGGAAAGGAACAAAAGAAGGAAAAGAAGGATTAAAGGGGAGGAAACCAAGGAAGAAAGAGAAGGAAGACAGAGAGGGAAGAAAGAGAGGGAAGAAAGAGAGGGAAGAAAGAGAGGAGAGGGAGGAGAGGGTGGAGAGGGTGGAGAGGGAGGAGAGGGGGAAGAGGGAGGAGATGGAGGAGAGGAGGACGACAGGACAAGGAAGACGAGGCAACAAACAAGGACAAAAAAGAAAAGAGAAGGTACGTGTAATGTTGATATGTTTTGTTTGCACAGGCAGACAGCTTACATTTTTTGCTTGTTTTGTCGATGCTTGACCGCAAGCTTTTGTAGCCAGCAGTCCGATAGATAAGGATCCATGATACCCCCTCGCAGAACCACGTCGAGGCAAAAGAGATTGCCAATATAATCAGCCCGTCCGCGTACTTCATCTTTTCTCTGTCAAAATGAAAAATTGACTGCACGCCAACAATTGCAATGTGCAAGAATTCCCCAAGTCCAGATCAGCCCACACCAACAATTGCAATGTGCGAAATTTCCCCCAAGTCCAGATCAGCCCACACCTTCAACCTGCAGCTGCTGGGAGCTGTTTCACACACTTTTCTAACGCCCCTCATTTTTCCACTTCCCTGCACCTGATCGAACACGCGTCAGACGTCAGCATAAGCATAAGCATAAGCTCCTGCCAAGAAAACGGACATAGTAACCAGTGACAAAAGAAGACCAACTTATCACCAATGCAAAGAGAAACCGATTGCCGACCAAAAAACAAGGGAAAAAAAAAACAAAAAAAAAAACAGCGGTCTGTTTCGTCCAGTGCAGCAAGCAAAAACAGATTTGTCACCGCAACAGAATCGACTCAATTCTGCATCCACCCTCCTCCCAAATTTGAAAACGCTTTCGCCCCTGGCAGAGGACGAACCTGGATAGTACCACGGTCAGATGCATACTGGGTAGTACAACATGGGAAATTTGGGCCCTAAAGGGCCTTGGTATTTGACCGGCCGCCGACCAGAAAAGAGAAAATAGCCATGTTTGACAATGATTTTTTAGCCATCTTTCCAGAAATCTTTCTTATAAATGCCACTATCTTATCACTTATCTATGGAGTGATTTTGAGCAGTTCAAAAAGATATGATTATCCACCATTAGTGCGTAATGTGGGATAGTTGGGTTTACTGAGTATTTTAATGACAATTCTATTTTTGCTGATCAATAATCCTTTAACCACTGCTAATCTGTTTTATAATAATCTAATCATAGATAATTTGACCTATTTTTGTAAAATCTTTCTACATTGACATTCAGGCACGACACACTCCGAATAAAGGCATCTACGTCTTTTCCAAATTTTGGAGTAGTGCCAGACTTAACATTATCAGACGCACCACGACACATTGCATCCCATATTCTCGCATACGCACCAGAGATTTTATGTATATATATCGTCAAACAGAGCTGCCCGGTAAACCGTAGGCAGAGAGGGAGAAGAGGACAACAACCGCGGGGCTGCGACAAACAGTTTCGTCGGAGTTTCACCGACTGACTCATCAATCAGTAGACGCTGAACCCTCAACAGTCTGCAGAATCCCCTAACTGATTACACTGTAGGTGATAATCCACCTTAACCCCTGATGTGGTTAAGCACCAACGACTGCCCGACAACTGATACCCTGAGGTGGGCATATATAATAAAAATTTGGACCATTTCTCGATTTACGCGTGTCATCCTTGCGCAGGGGCCATGCTAATCTTCTCTTTCTCTGTATCGTTCCAATTTTTACGGATGTCCCTAAAGGACCATACGCACCAGAGATAAATGCATCAGCAAACCTAAGATGCATCAAATGACAAAAGATAACACATGTAATCGGTAAATTAAAGTTCACCGACAGGTAAAATTTAACGGGGCATGTCCTATATTCGCCAATTGACCTACCTATGCATTCCCCAAGAGGAAAATATGTATTGTCACAAGAGTATCAGAGCGCAAATGCGAAAAAAAGGGAAAAAGAAGGAAAAGAGAGAAAAACAGGAAAAACTGAATTCATTTTTTTTATCTTCTTCTACAGCTGAAAGCCTGAGTGGCATGCCACTTTGGGACAAGAGACCTTCACACACCACTCGAGCTGTACTAACCGGAGGTAAACCGACAGGGAGCAGGTGCAGGTCCTGCAGTTGGCCTTCCATTCTTTGCTATTATTATCCTAAAGGCAGGTACATTGCTAGAGGGCCATTACGGTCAAAATGTTTCCACAGTGACCTACCTGTCTTATTTCCCCTCGTCAGATTGAACTAAAATTGATATTGATCTAAGTAACAAGCGACTGAGGCGATATGAAGGGGAACCCTGCAAGCATAGCTACCTCTTACATAGGAGTAGCGGTAGGCAGGCAGTGAAAGGTGAATTTGAGAGAAGAATAAAGTGTTGCTGAACAAAACAAGGAAAGAAAGTAATAAGCGACTGAGCACTAATCAATCAAGGGTAGACTGAACGAAGTCACAAGGGCAAGCTTCTATGTAGGGCCGCCTCGCTCCACTACTCACCAAACGTGCAAAATGAGAATGAATCTTCCGCGGGAACATGGGAGCATACACCGCCATATTTTTTGTCTTTTGTGTATGTGGTGAGTAGCGGAGCGAGGCCCTTGCACCCGGGTTCGGTGATTTTATGACGGCCATCGATCGCTGCAATCTACGCTACGGTCGTGACTACCCTCCTACCCCAAACACAACGCACCCTGATAATGAAAATGTATACAAGCCATCTTTCCGGTCCGGTTCAGCCACAATGAGGGTGAAAACGGTAGTCTGCCGAATCCACTCAGGATCATCCACGCACTACACATAAGAACATAACGATAGTGGCGACACGTATCGCCCGTACGACTCTGATTAACTGCAAGCATAAACCATCGACTGTACGGGACAATACGTCAAACAGACACGTTCGGTGAACAGGGCTAATTCCATTGGGTCACTAATACTAGTGGTAATTGATGGCCATCAGCGGCGGGCATCCTGTAGGCCGACACTTCCAGCGGCTACAGATACGGATACGTCACTTCTGTTATATAAGCCTTGATCCTACCGCAAGTTACCAGGCTGGACGTCTGGTCGACCTCCAGGGGCGAGGTCCCACTAGCAAAGAGGGGGATCGAATTGAAAGACTGAATCTGGACGTGTTCGTGGAGGGGAGCAGAATATCACAATTGATCTGCGCTTCTGCATCTCTGCTCAAAACCCATCCATATTCAGGCGGATTAATCCAATCCTCTTTGCTACTACGGTAGTAAGCAGTGGGACCTCGCACCAGACGTGCGGAGGATAGCAGCAGACGTATTCCTCGCGCAAAAACAGAAAAGGATGAACCTTTTTCTATTTTATTTTTTGCGGTCCTGGGGTCGCCATGAGTCTACGCGACAGTCTTTCCCCGAATAAAACACGGGGCTGGGGGAATCTCACGCTCAGTAGAGACACGATGACCCGCGTTCTATACGGGGGACTGCAGCAATAGCATCTGCATTACAACCCTCCGGCGGCCCGCTTTTCGAAAACTGCCTTTCATACCTAGAATTGGCGTTTTGAAAACCTTTCGTATGTTTAAAAAAAAAAAAAAAAAAAAAAAAACTTTCGTAAGTACCTTTCTCCGCCTTCCGGCTAAGTAAGATCGAGTGTAGTATCCGTTCGATCCGTGGTCCATCAGGTATCAACGGTCTAGATTGGCGCTTCAAAGATTGAACGGACGTCCTTGCCGCCCGCGTTAGAATCCAATCACCACAAAGTCCACGAGGTCTGAGTTCACCTCCTCCGATTCGAGCGACCGGTCCCACCAACAAACCCCAACTTAGCGGACGACCTCAAACATCGCTATGGATTACTTCTTCCACATCTTTCACAGTGAAAGACCTTCCTGTGGTACAAACAAAGTCTGTCCTTTTTTTAAATATTAATTGGACCATTTCTCGATTTATGCGTGTCAGTCATCCTTGCGAAAGAGGCCATGCTAATCTTCTCTCTCTCTCTCTGTATCGTTCCAATTTTAACGGGCCGGATGTCCCGAAGGACACAAGTCTGTCTTCGGTTACTCGACGCTCATATAGAAGCACCCGCGCTGAATCCCTCATCTGGGCGGGAATTCTCTTAGAACGGTTTTCAATCAAGGTTTTCAACAATCCCAGCCGAGAGTCTGGAGAGCCCCTACCCTACCAATGCTTCCATCATAACCTACTTTGCCCACAGCTGTAGCCGCCAAGCACACCTGTTAAGATGAGGGAAACACAAGACTATCACCAAGCCGCGGGCACACCACACAAGCATACACCTCCACAGCCCTCCACAGCCCGGCTGGGTCAAATCTATCCTCAGCATCGACGAAAAAATAACGCTTGTCAAAACAAAAGAAAGGACTGATTGCCCGTCGAAATATACAGCCAAATTAGGTCCACAGCATAGCCGTTCATGCCCGCCAGTACATAACACATTGCCTGTCAAAAAG